CATTCAACTGAGGAAGCTATATTAGGTTGTGTGTACATTAGGTTGTGTGAAATTCACAACTATCACTTGAAAATAAATTGCTGTTACATAAAAACATCATCAAGCCTATTTGGACATATGGTGTACAGCTGTGGGGTACAACAGCAAACTCTAATATAGAGATTCTATAACGTTTCCAATCAAAAATATTTCGAATGATCACAAATGCTCCGTGGTATTTAACTAACAACAGAATCCATCATGATCTGGACATTCCTACAGTCAAAAGCGAAGTTAAGATTAAAACCGAAGCATATAAAACTCGCATACAAAATCATCCAAACATGTTGGCATCACAGCTAATGGACCCTAAGAGAATATTCTACAGGCTAAAGAGAAGGATACCACAGGACCTAATATCTAATCTTTGATTAGAAGATCTATTTGTAATAGGTGAACCATTGGGCTTATTCCACGCACGACTACATAAAGCTACGCCTAGACTACTGCTGAATGTCTCTATAGACAGATTGCAATAAATTTATATATCCAAAAAAAGAAGAGAAGGTGGTGGATCCGTCCCATCAACTGTCAACGTAACGAGCAAGGAGGTTTTATGAACTTGCTGCAAGAAATGAAATTAGATCCAGTTATGTTTTTTCGTTATACCCGAATGACATTACCACTTTTTAACAATTTATTCGAAAAAATGAGAGTATATTTGATGAAAAGAAATTGGAGAGCTTTACAACCGGAGCAGAGACTTGCTATTACTCTCAGGTACACGCAATATTTTATTTGTAAATAAATGGATACACATTAAACGGATAGTTTTTATGCATATCTAATAATCAATCTTTTAATATTACTACTGTACAGGTATCTTGCAACTAGAGATTTGCCACTCAATTGCATTAGCCTACCGCGTTGGTGAATCAACGATTTATAAGGTGGTGAAAGAAACTTGCGATGTATTAATAAAAGTACTGGAACCTTTATATCTGCGAAAGCCAATCAGAGAAGAGTGGATAAAAATTTGCAATGGTTTTTTGAGAAACTGAAACTTCCCGAATTGTGTGGGAGCCATAGATGGCAAACATGTGCAAATTAACGCACCGCCCAATTCAGGAAGCTTATATTACAATTACAAAAAAACTTTCAGCACAGTGCTGATGGTAGCCTGTGACCATGAATACAAGTTTATACTTTTTTGTAGACGTTGCAGCTTATGGAAGCAACAACGACGCTGGTGTTTTTTCCCAATCCGAATTTGGACAAGCTCTGTTTGATGGAGAACTCGGCTTGCCAGAAAATATAAGACTACCTAGAAATAATTCAGAGACACCATGTTTTTTTGTAGGTGATGAAGCATTCCAATTGACATAAAACCTAATGAGACCATATTCTGGTCGAAATTTATCCGAGGACAAAGCAATTTTCAACTATCGACACTCGCGGGCTAGAAGGACTATTGAGAATACTTTTGGAATTCTTGCAGTATGCTGGAGAATCTTCACTCACCCAATCTCTTTGCATCCTGATAGTGCGGACAAAATTATTATGGCTTGTTTATGTCTCCATAACTTCTTTATGACAGAAAATAACCGAATATAAACAAGTCATAGAACATACTGCCTGAGTAATTACGTAGATATGGAATTGAACAATGGTAATGTTATTCCTGGAGAATGGCGAAAGGAGAATGCTGTAGGAATTCAAAATCTTAGACCATCATACGCGCATCGAGCAAGAACTGAAGCATACAGTCAAAGGGATATGTTAAAAAATTATTTTTTGACTTCTGAAGGTGAAGTGACGTGGCAATATGCATACGTTCGCAGAGGTTTTAATGGAATATCTTAATGGAAGATCTTCCTGAAAATTAATTCGAGATATTAACATAACTTTTCTTGTAAAATTATATATTTTATAATAGACAAGGAATTATTTATAAATAATTAATTAGAGGTAATTTGTGTAACATACTGCATTTAATGTTTTAAAATATATTTCTTTTTTATAATCAAGCATTGTAAGACTCATATAAAATTTGTAAGATTATTTGTTTCCTACTTCTTTTTTCAGCTTCTGGTAAGGTTTCTAACTCTGTAACTATTAATGAAACAAATGAATTATCAGCAGTGCTTATAGATCTTGAATTACGTGGATCCATGAAACGTTGCTGCATAATCTGAATCAAATTGAAAACAGATTCTTCCATCTTGTTCAAGTCTTTGGTTTTTTTAATGTTTAACGTACAATCTCGTGATGCAAGTGTTGGAGATAGTGTTGATCGCGATCCACTTTGTAGAGGTGCTAGAGATGGTGTTGATCGTAATCCACTTTGTAGAGGTGCTAGAGATGGTGTTGATCGTAATTCACTTTGTAAAGGTGCTGGAAATGGTGTTGATCGTAATTCACTTTGTAGAGGTGCTGGAGATGGTGTTGATCGTAATCCATTTTGTAGATGTGCTGGAGAGGGTGCTGATCCTATCAAATGATTGGAATCTTCCCATTCCAAAACAGACTTTTGCATAGTTTGTACAGGCGAAGACGATTGAGAAGCTGGTGAACGTGAAGGAGTCTTTTCATATGTAATTACATTTGGAGTCGTCAAAGAAACGTTATCCTCATCAAATAAAGTAGTTGACATTGATGATGGATTGATGATAGCTCGCTATTTTCATTTAAAACATATATGAACAACTTTGATTCAATGATTGAATTACTCTCGGTATCAAATGCCAACTTGGGACGTTTCGACACGTTAGTATACGATCTGAAAAGAAGACCATCTAATGTTAAATAGAATGAAACTAGATAGATGAATATAATAGATTATAGCATGGGGAGACAAACATACCGCCTCCTTTTAACGTGTTTTTCTAAAAACAGCATATTTTCATTTTCACAAGACGAATGTATTTAGACGACTAGCTTCACCACCACTCCTTGTTTCTATTTCCTTTTATCGTTTTTCTCTGACAAATTTGTCACGTAGTTTAATCCATTGTGCTTGACACTCTGAAACTATATGTTTTCAAACCATCAAATTATGTGTCATTGATTGTTCCAATTAATCGTATTAATCTTATTAATCTTACCTGACATTTTCATGACTGACGTGATTTCCTTCCACGAATTCTCTTTCATTAAATGATCCTTGAAATTTGTTTCTTGATGGTTATACAGGATAACCTCTTACACAGTCAATGAGCAATTCGTCGGTTGATTTAATCGTATCATCATTGTCGATTATTTTACTTGAATTTTCTTCAAATGAATAGGCAAACATATTATTTAATAAGCAGTATCTATTATGATCACTCATTTAAAACATAATATATAATCTCAAAATCTGTATACGTAAACGACATAAACGTAAGAATTTCATCCTTACAAAATTTTTCAGCGTTACGGCTTCTGTCTTGCGTAGAAAAATGTAGAGGGGAATAATCGACTTTGATTGGAGGATTTCCTTACGGTTTACGTATTACGTGTTAAGTAGATTCGTGTGTGAAGGCCTTTAACGTTACTATTCTAATAGTAGTAGATCATTTGAAACAAATCAGCAAGGTAAAGAAGTTGGAAAGATGGGTTCCGCATAAATTAAACGAGTGTCAGAAGAGAAATTTTCTCAAAGCTTGCCTTTATTATCACGATATAAAGACAAACTATTTTTACATCGTATTGTTACGTTTGATGAAAAATAGATTCTTTTTGACAATCACAAGCGTTCGGCACAATGACTGGATATAAATGAAGTGCCGAAACAAAGTCCGAAACCGAATATTCACAAAAGAAAGCTAATGGTGTCTGTTTGTTGGTCCTGTACTGGTATTATCCACTGCAGCTTCATGAAATCTGGTCAATCAATTACAGCGGATGTCTACTGTAACCAAACGGTCAAAATTATGAAGATACTTGCGATTAAGTAACCGAGATTGGTCAACAGAAACAGGCCAATCCTCTTACAAAACCACGCTCGCATAAACCAAATGTCGCATAAACAACATTGCCAAACTACAAAAGCTGGACTTGGAAACACTCTATCACCCATCGTATTTACTAAACCTTGCACCAACTGACTACCACTTCTTCCAGGCACTGGACCATTTCTTATAAGGAAAAATATTCAATTTTCAACAAGCTGTGGAAAACGCCTTCTGCGATTTCATCATCATCCGTTTTTTAGGCTTCTTCGCTGCTGGCATAAATACCGTTAAAATGGCAGAAATGTGTCGATAGTTTAGACGCATACTTTGATTAATTGTACTATTTCGAGTTCAAGATATAATAACCAATAATAAAAACCAAACTTTTGATTCAAAATCAGACATTTCATACTTAATGACCTAATATTATACATAGATTTATGGAATTTGATACTCTTTTATTCTTACATTTTTTTAATTTTACAAAGATAAGAAATAGGATTATATTAAAAAATATTTTTTAAAAATGTAAATACGTCGTTGTGAGTACAAAATATTGTAACACTTTTGTATAAAATATTTTTTCATATATTTTTAAAGCTATTCGCGATGAATAAGAAAAATTCGTTTTAAGGGGTTATTTTAACTCCCAAATATTGAGATATGTCGCTAAAAAATATATTTTTTAATGCTCTACAACGTATCCGAAATCCATTGAAATCGGTGAAGAACAGTTCCTTTGTTAGTTATGTTAATAGAGTTTTAATATAACTTAATATTTAGATAAAATGTTTTTGATTGCGATAACAAAGACATCATTTCTTGTCACCGAGTTTTCGTCTGATCTCTGTTTAATCACAAAAACTGGGATTTTTCTGTGTAATTCTAATCTCATTGTGAAATCATTCTAACAAGATTTTTTAACATAGCGATATTTGTTTATATTACTTGATATTAAAATTTTTCGATTAAGAGATAGTAAAGCTATGAATTATTGAATAAAAATCATTTTTCTATTAAAATTTAATAGAAAATGTACTTATTAAGACGGACACACTGATTGATTTACGTGCAAATACTTTTCAGCCGTACTATCGCTATACTTGAGCGACGTGCTGCATTATTCCGGGAACACTTCCACCGTAATCTATCATATTTTCACTATGTTTGTCTATTTCTTCCCATTATTCGGCGCAATCCTGGCGGATTCGTGGCTTGGAAAATTTCGCACTATCTTCTATGTGAGTGTTATTTATGCAATTGGACAATTGCTCTTGGCCATAAGTGCAGCACCTACATTATTAGGATTGCCTCCAAGGTTAGTATAAAGCGGCCAAAATAACCGCGACGACAAAGTATTGAAAACTGATATGTCGCAAAGTATATAATGTATAAACTTGACTAATACTCTTATATTATTTATTTATTTAATTATAGCTGTTTTTATTTCAACTTTTTAGAGAATTTTCGTTGTTGGGCCTATTTCTAATAGCAGTCGGCACAGGCGGTATAAAACCTTGCGTATCGGCCTTCGGGGGTGACCAATTTATCTTGCCGCAACAGGAACGTTACCTAGCAATGTTCTTTTCTCTCTTCTACTTCTCCATTAACTCGGGCTCACTAATTTCCAGCTTCATGACTCCTTTGCTACGTAGCAATGTGCGATGTTTTAAAGAGTCAACCTGTTATTCCCTAACATTTTTGGTCCCCGCTATTTTAATGATACTATCTATTGGTAAGATGCAGTAAGAACAAAGTCTTTAAACTTTATCGGTACAATAAAAGTATGATTATGATTGATAAAAACTTATTTTCAGTAATATTCGTCCTTGGGAAACGAATGTATAGAATAGTGGAGCCTACAGGGAACGTTGTCGTCAAGGTTTTCAAGTGCGTTTCCGTAAGTTTTATGTTATCGAAATTTTAAATAGCCTCAAATATTTTTTGGAAATAATTCTCTCGAAATTTTTGATCTCGAATCTTAGATCTCTCGAATTTTTAAGCTAGGATTTCTCCCCCACCTCTCTCCCTCTCCCTCTCTCTCTCCCCCTCTCCTTCCCCATCTCCCTCCCCATTTCCCTCTCTCTCCCTCTCCCTCTCCCTCTCTCTCTCCCTGGATGATCTCTCACCGCAAGATATACACTCTCAAAAGACCTCTCTTTCTGTTTTGCAAAACGCAGCACGCAATCTATAACAAGATAAAGGGCAAGAACGGGAAACGCGAATATTGGCTTGATCACGCCGACGATACGTACGATCGTAAGCTGATCGACGACATCAAAGTTTCGCTGCAGGTGTTGAAGTTGTTTATACCGCTGCCAGTGTTCTGGGCTCTTTATGATCAACAAGGCTCTCGATGGACCTTCCAAGCCACTCAAATGGACGGTCAGATAGGCAGTTTTCTGATGCCACCAGATCAAATGCAGGTTGTCAATCCGCTGTTGATCCTCGCTTTCGTACCTCTTTTCGAAATGTGCATCTATCCGGTCTTTGCAAAGATACACCTGATCAACACACCCTTAAAGAAACTTGCTACTGGCATGTTTCTGGCTGCTCTGGCCTTTGTTGTGACTGGCATCGTTGACCTGCAACTTGAGGTAACAAAAAACAATATTTCTTCGCTATACTACTGTGATCAAAAAGTATCCGAACTTTATTTTTTAAAAATCGCGGGTAAATTATCATATAAATCAAAACCATGCTTTCTTTTGCATTTGCTTTCTTAAGTACACATGTCCTTCATGTCATTTGGTGAAAAAATCATGGCATTCCTTCAAGCCGTTTGAAAGTGGTAGTTGTTTATGTCAGTGAAGATTGTTATGCACGGTGATTTTTACGATGTCGAAAAATATGGAGCAAAGAATTTGTTTGAAATTTTGTGTTGCAAACGAAATTTCGTTCACAAACGCTGCGACGGAACGTTCGTCCGCCGTCGGCAAACTGCTGTCAGTCCGCGCGTTACGGTCTTTTCCACCAAGCACGAAAGTTGGGCGCCAGGTGCAGCGGGCTGCACCACTCACCAACGCGAATTCTCTAAACAAAGATTCGGCGACCGCGACGCGAGAATCCGACGGGACTGGTAACTCGGGATAAATTAAAGTCGGTAGACGGGAAGGTTCGGTCGGAAATCGGGGCACGTAATGGAAAACAAAACGGTTTCGTTACGAAAATATGCTCTTTTATTGGCGGTAGCGGCTCCGCAGCGCTCGCGAGACGATACAAAGCGGCCCTTACGGCGCTTTCTCTCGGGACCGAGACTCTCCTTCGCAACTCCCAACTGTGACGCAACGACAAAATTTTGAGATACCGAAAAGAAGCAGGTGGATGGTCTTACAGGTTCGGGAACCTCCCGGCGACGTGGTCCTGGCGGGTCGCTGTGCCGGTCGCTCGTTCGCTCCTCCACCGGACGGTCGTCTTTCCCTTCTCAGTACGATAAGGGCCGCGATCAAGTCCTTCACGTGCGATACACCAAAAGGTACTTTCCAGTAGCGAAACACCCAATCGGTTCTTATTCGCGACACCCAAAACTACTCTTTTCCTAGCGGCAAAACTAAACTCTCTTCGAGCGGCAGCCCGAAAAACTGTCTCAGTCACCAGAACGTATTTATCTCTCCTCGCCCGAAAAACGGAATCCGCCTCTCATTTCCTTTGTCATCTTTTCATCATCTTTGGGAGGGGTTCCTCTCTCCCCGTTCCTCGTCCATTCTGACGGTATGGTAATCCTTCCGCGGATCGTTGTTTTCGATCGTTGTTTTCCGCGGGCAGGACTCTATCTCCTCTCTCTCTCTCTCTCTCTCTCTCTCTCTCTCTCTCTCTCTCTCTCTCTCTCCCTCTCCCTCTCCCTCTCCCTCTCCCTCTCCCCCTCTCCCCCTCTCCCCCTCTCCCCCTCTCTCCCTCCCTCCCTCTCCCTCTCCCCTCTCTCCCTCTCTCCCTCTCTCCCTCTCTCCCTCTCTCTCTCTCTCTCCCTCTCTCCCTCTCTCTCTCTCTCTCTCTCTCTCTCTCTCTCTCTCTCTCTCTCTTCTCTCTCTCTCTCTCTCTCTCTCTCTCTCTCTCTCTTTCGCTCGCTAGGTGTTCCGCAAGCATTGTCTTCGGGTCTGTCTAGCCGCTGTTTTTGGTTGTCGGGCCACGCAGCAGGAGCGTGCTCGTTGATCTCTTTCTTCAGTATTCCGTGTTGTCCTTGGGACCTGCGGAACAACAAACGCGGCAGCGATAATTTCTTACGATATACAATGTGCGAACGCGAGACGATAATCGAGAGCGATCACCTGGGCTGTGTCCGGCGGCGAGCGACATCCTCCCAATCCTCTTGCTCCTCCAGTTCGGGTGGTTGACTCGGGAGGTCAAAGGGCACAAAGTCTAGGGACGCGAGACCGCACCTGCGCGTTCTTAACTCTAATTTATATTAATCCGGGGAGTGGGTTCCTCCCCCCAGCTTCCCGCTAGAGGGGCGATAATTCTTGCCCCCCCCCCCCGCATCGCGATCGAGGGTTCGCTTTCCTGGGACGGGCGCCTCCGCGTCTGCCATGTCACAACGCATTCAAAATGTTGCAAAAAGCTTATGGCGATGATTGTTTATCGAAAACAAGTACGTTTGAGTAGTTTAAAAAGTTTCAAGAAGGACGAGAATCCGTTGAAGATGACCTACGCTCTGGAAGACCATCAATGTCAACGGATGACGCTCACATTGAGAAAGTGAACCCAGTAAACACAGAATATAACTTAGATAACATAGGACTAACATGTAATATCAGGTGTAGTAAAAAGAAATCCATTATTTTTGCATGAAATTGAAGGCTTTAATTACCATAATTAGAATGATCCGATTTAGATCAAATATGCGCCGTTTTGTTCGATAACTTGTTGCCATTTTGAAGGTAATTTCATTATGCCTCTCTCATAGAAGCCCTCGTCCCTATTGACAAAAAATTGAGACAGTCAATTTTCACAAGTCTCTCTTGAAGCAAATTTTTCACCAGCAAAATTGTTCGCCATGGACAGGAACAGATGGTAATCACTTGGTGCCAGGTCCGGACTATAAGGTGGATGCATAAGAACCTCCCAACCAAGCTCTCGGAGCTTCTGGCGAGTCACTATCGATGTATGTGGCCTGGCGTTGTCCTGATGGAACACAATTCCTCTTCTATTGGCCAAAGCTGGCCGCTTCTGGGCGATTGCTTCCTTCAGACGGTCCAATTGTTGACAGTACAGTTCCGAGTTAAGAGTTTTAGGGGAGCAGCTCATAGTAGATAATTCCCTACCAATCCCACCAAACACACAGCAAAACCTTCCTGTCCGTCAATCCTGGCTTGGCCACCGTTTTCGCCGGCTCACCGCGATTCGACCACGACCGTTTTCGCTTGACGTTGTCGTAAATGATCCACTTTTCATCACCAGTGACCAACCGCTTCAGAAATGGATCGATTTTGTTGCGATTCAGCAGCGATTCGCAGATGGAAATTCGGTCCATGAGGTTTTTTTTCGTTAACTCGTGTGGCACCCATACATCGAGCTTCTTTTTGTATCCAGCCTTATTCAAATGGTTCCAAACGGTTTTTTGTGCAATCTTTAGCTCTTGGGCAATCGAAACAGTGCTTACATGACGGTCGGACTCGACAATGTCCATGATTTCATTGATATTTTCGACAATTGGCCTTCCAGTGCGTGGTGCATCTTTGACATCGAAATTACTGGAACGGAATCGACGAAACCAAAATTGCGCGTGATTGGCTGTTACAGTATCAGGACCATATACACTATTCACATTTTCAGCCGCCTGGCTTGCGTTTTCGCCTTTATCGAAGAAAAACTGTAAAATATAGCGTATTTTCTCTTTGCTAGTGTCCATCTTTGACGCGCGCTCAAACAAAACTGAGTCAACTAATCTCAAAACTGTCAGAAAAGTTTTTTTAGTACGAAATCTCATCTTTCTAACGCCATCTAGTGGAACTCGATCGGACTTATACAACGCGAGATACAGATAACTAAAGCCATCTATTGTAAAAATAATGGATTTCTTTTTACTACACCTAATATAACATATGTTATACTCTAGTTATATTGACAAGGAAATGACGCAACCTGTTTCATCGATTTCAACACGAGTCACAGCACACTCGATAGCTATGATGCCGTGTATAAACGCCCTAACATAATATGCGTGAATGCGTCTTTGTTTACGAGTAATTTGCAGTTAAAGTTTGGCTCGCGGAGCCGTGCTACAGATAGGGCGCAAGTTACGACACGCTTTCACGAAGTCGGTATGGCTGAGCAGACAGAGGCTCCCGCGCCGCGAACACTTTTGCGCCGACGACGGCGTTCGAGTCCCGCCGACGACTGGTTCGTTTTTTTTTCATATGTAAAGACATGTAATAAATATTTTTATATTGTTCTTATGTATTATTCCTTCTTTTGTTTCTACGCTATTAATCAAGGCTAATTAGGAGAGTCAGGTCTTTCAAATATGAACACAACTTTTTTATTAATTACAATAAAATGTTTTTTTCGTGTAAATCTATTTCGCATAAATATTTCGTATGGTATGGGAAAGAAATGGCCAGACAGTGATTATTTTGTGTGAGAGAAACCCGAGAGCCGTTAGAACCGTTACAAATAGAAAGGAACCCTCTTCCCTTTCCCCTTCTCGCAGAGGGATTCTCATGTTTTGTGACGTGCTCGCTTCATTCTCTGGGCAGTCTTCATAACGTGAACAGTGAAAAACTCGTGTTAAAAATGGAAACCACGTTTGTAGATGAAGCAATGATCAGCTATGTGCAAAATCTAGCAAAATGTGATATTACGAAAGAAGAGTTGACGGACGCAATAGAATATCTTCGAGGTAAATATATTGAATGTGTGAGCAATGGAAAGATATATTTGTACGTATTGTTATTGCCTTGTATACAATATCAATTATATTGAATTCATATTTGCAGATGTCCTGATACAATTTCCGTCCAGTCTTGTTGACAGCCGCGAGGTATTTTACAATGTCAATCAAATGTGTTTTCCACCAACTATACATAGTCAAAAGTATATTTGTGCAAAAAATTATGCGTTCATTACGTGCAGTTGATGCAAAAAACTATTATGTTTTACATGCTTTTATACGGCATTCCATCCGCAGAATTGCGACAGCATGACCACATTTTATAATACGTAACTTTCATTTGTGTGCCTTATATTTGTCTTATGTGTGTGTGTGTATGTGTTTTGATACAGACGAAAACATTTTATTGTAATTAATAAAAAAGTTGTGTTCATATTTGAAAAACCTGACTCTCCTAATTAGCCTTGATTAATAGCGTAGAAACAAAAAAAGGAATTATACATAAGAACAATATAATATAAAAATATTTATTACATGTCTTTACATACGAAAAAAAAACGAACCAGTCGTCGGCAGGACTCGAACGCCGTCGTCAGCGCAAAAGTGTTCGCAGCACGGGAGCCTCTGTCTGCTCAGCCACACCGACTTCGTGAAAGCGTGTCGTAACTTGCGCCCTATCTGTGGCACGGCTCCGCGAGCCAAACTTTAACTGCAAATTACTCGTAAACAAAGACGCATTCACGCATATTATGTTAGGGCGTTTATACACGG